TTTTTAATGTGTTTGTAATAAGACTGTCGTGATAAATTAAAATATAAAAAAAAAAAAGAATAGCCATCTTCCAAATGTAATTTTCAACATACACATTTCTAATAATTTACTTTACTACACTACGTAAAAATGTACTGCCACACTCATTAAGAAATTAAATACTACAACTATGCGCGAGCTGCCGTTTCTGCATTCCTGTAGTTCTCGTTTTGGCTGCTCGAGATTTGTGTGTGTCGCGTTCACATATGCAAATTTCTATACGTGCGTGTAGACGTACATCGTCTCCTGGTCCAAACTACGATCGAACATCGTGGAGCACTACTCAAATACAAGATGCCTCCTCAACATCAAAATGTTGGCGCCATCCTTATACATGATATGAGATGAACCTATCTACATATGTATATAGATTCTATTATATTCTTCCGCACATAAACTCCAAGATTTTATATACATATTCTGTAGAAAATCTATCTGCTATCACAAAAGATTATTTTGTAATTATCGGTCATAGTGCACATAGAATGCATTTATTATCATTAAAAGACCTATTGAAGAGTTTAGTAAATCTGTACATCTCACAACTATGTTGACCCAAATTTTAACACCATCATTAGGAGTATTTAATTGTTCGACATAAATTTTTCGAAATATATTCAAATAATGAATATAAGTAAAAAAATGAGATTCAAAAAGATCTCGGGCATTACCACGACGATGTCCAAAGCAGAAAAGGTGTAACTCACTTCGCTGACTGTTGTCACAGCAAAGTGTTCGCGAGTACGGTTCACGGTTAGTATCGCACTACCAGCATTGAGATATTTTAGCTTCGATTAGCGATATCTCATCGGTACATTAAGCCACCTGTCATGATTCACATTTCATCGTGCATTTCTTGGAAGGTACTTTATCCGTTTCGATATTGCGTATGCAATGGTTCACCGTTTAGCAACAGTATCGTGGAGTTTACTACCGTGACGAATTGGTATTTTTCCAAACAAATGAATAAAACAAGAAGAACTGATAAACCTCCAATTTCTTAAAATTGATTTACTAATTTTTATAGTTGTATCATATTTCGTTAAAATACTGATAGAATACGAAGGATCGTGCATATTCTTTTATCTCTGATGTTCTAGCAAAAATTCTAGATTAATCTTTCAAAAATACCAATTTTAAATTAGACGAAATATGTATTTTTTATATTAATAATTAGCATTTTCGAGACATCCAATACTTAAATTATTGTCGAGTACAATTTGAATTATAATTTTCTAAGTAGTTTCTAAGTGTTAAACTTTGAATAGATTGGAATTCATTTCGACAATTATGCTAAAAAGCGATCAATATAATTACATGCTCAAAAAAATACATAGTCTTTACGACCATGACGAGTAATGCATTAAATCAAGATAATCACGTGTCGACTAATAAAAGTTACGCCTGCATTTCCGAAAAATACCAGCTGCTTCCACCGTCCTGTCGCTATCATCGGTGATTTTTGCAATTTAATCGTCAGTATTTTATCAGTCATTCGGCTCCTCCTTGACGGAAACATTCTTGCTTCAGCCTACACCTTGGCTAAATGTTTATTTCTAATAAATATGTTTTCGCGTGTACGCCATCGAGCAAATGTCTGCGGCGCATCTATCTACAAATCTTGCTCTTTACTACGCCGACAAAAAGATTTTTTGTATTCAGCCGCCAGTATTTTCACAGAATTTTTAACATTGCAAAATCCATAGTTATATCTCTCTGTAACGAGAATACTATATAAAAATACAATCTGGCTATTTTCTTTTCGAACTCTTAGACCTTACAAAACATTAAAAATTTTATTTCCAATTTTAATGTCATGCACCATCTCCCGAAATCTTGCCCTCTACATAAATCACAAATGATTGAAACAAGATCCGCTTGTATCTGCCCCGATTGCAACATTATCGAGCCCATCCTAGACTCCGAAGAACATCTTTTTCTCGCTCGCGAATCGCTGCTGACAATATAAATCGTCATCTCCCACCCAATTCACTTTACCGAGCTTCGTGGAACCTCATGGCGCCATGGCGTAACGAAATAGCAAAAACGATAAATTACAATCCAAAAATGCTCGCGCAGGGAACCGATTGCGGTGAGGGGGAGGGAGGGGGGGGGGAAACGACAGAAAGAACCCTTCTCCCCGGTGGAAGGACAGACCAAAGCAACTGCGATCGAACGGTAGAAAGGTGCCTTTCGGTGAATCGACAACGGGGAAGGGATTCTCGAGGGCGGCGCCACGTTTGCGCCACGGTATAAAGAGCCCCGGAGGGGAATAAAGAGGTAGAAAAAAAGAAGCTCGGTGAGAGTGGCTAACATGGAATAGCCCTTAGCCGGCACGATAGCCGCTCTTTAGGCTGATGGACTCTTGCCTCCTTTTCCCTTTTATTCCCTCACGACGCCTCTCTCGTTCTTTTCGCCCGTCACCTCTTACCTGTGGTCCAGCTTTCTACCTTCATCGCACTCCCCCCCCCCCCTCTCTCTCTCTCTTTGCATTTCTTCGGCTCGTATCTGCTCTCTCTTCTATCTGCATTTCGCGATCTTTGCTGTGCCTTAGTGCTTGTACACGCATCAAGAATATTTGATTTTGTTTAACGTTAACGTTATCAAACTCTACCTGTGTATATTAAATATTCTTTAGTAATTTCATCTACCAAAAATTTAGTAGTATACAATGAAACATATTTATTAACTTTTCATCATAATTGAAGGATGTGAACATACAATTTCTGTTGTGGTCTTAGCGTATGCTACTTGAAATAAATGATAAACTTGGTAGATATGGTAGAAGAGAAAAACGTACCAAAATGATATAACTTGGTAAACAATAATCTGAGCGGTTTGCTATTCATGATTGTTTATTACACGATATACAAATAGTTTCGCAATGCTAATTAAATAATTTAATTAGCTATCCATTACACATCACTGAGGGAGATAATTACTTAACGGACGTTATCTTGGCGAGAACTCTCGGGCAAATGTTAAGATATGATGAATTGCTGTTGAACGAGAATCTTGTTCTCACTTTATCACGTCGTATAATTACGATTGTACTATTACATTTTTTTTATTGCTGTTAATAGTATTCAAGTTTTACAAAAAAGAAGCGATAGTGAAAATTTATTGAAAAATAAAGAATTTACTATTATGTCTACATCTATAATTTATAAATCAACTGATTTGTAACTTTTAATTGTGATACTACAAGATGTATCTGTATAGTCGCGCTTATATATAAAATAAATACTGTTCTGCAAAAGGATCTGGATCTCTTCCTGAGATATGGAATTTTTATTGTCTTAAAGAAAACGGAACGTCGTGTAGCTCTGTGTTAAACAAATGATTCGTAACGATAGGGTTCTCGGTTCGATCCCGGCCCTCGTCCAGTATATTTTCTCGATAAGAGAAATTTCAGGAGTCAGCGCTTGTTTATAAATACATACATATATTCTGCTGTAATGTATCACGTAACAAGAATGAGTCTCGCAGCGAGTTGATTGATGTTTGTTTCTTTTTGACAATAAAACCTTGTCACGGTTCATAGTCTTTTTAATTCATCTGATTTATTCGTCAGAGCCTTAAATACTTATTAAAGAAAATGATTCGCAAAATATGTTCAGTACATATTATATATTATTCTTTGGGAAGAAAATTAAAATATACATCTATACATATATATCTAGATATACTACTTTAGCTCGCGGCATAAATGGCATAAATGCATATTTACAAAATTAGACACATAAACCAGAGTACATTTCACATATTAAGTACAAGTTGCACGACAAATATAGATTGATCCCTCAAAATATCTAGTATGCCGCCTAAAAATGCCTATTCGAAATGCCTTGTAAATCGCATTGTCTGTTACTAAAATTATGCTAAAATTATGTGGCAAAACGTATTTATTAAAAAAGAAAAAGAAGACAAGTTTTTGCAATATGTATCCAGAAAATAAGAAAGAATCAATTTTAAAGTCAGCTTCAAATTAAAGTTTAAAACAATTTATAGTTTTTATTTCTTTTTGATGTAACACACATACAGGGAGAGAATTTTTTCTTAAAACTTACCCTGAAAATCGTGTAATCGTGGGACAACATGGCATTTTAAAAAACTTTCTGAGAGTTGTCTGAAATTTTACCATATATTTTACTAGTAAAATGTATACTAACAATAAGTATAATTGCTAGTAAAATGTATGGTAAAATTTCAAAAAACACATAAAATTTTTCGAAATCCCGTGTTGTCTCACAATTACCCGATTTTCAGGATTTTGAAGAAAACATTCTCCGTGCAGTTTTGTCTTTCTTTCTCTTCTCCGTTTTTCCTGGTAGGGAGCGTATCAGTTCAGGCATTCTCCGCGACATAGTCTGTAATATCGGTAACGCAGGATCCGAAGAAGAAATCGTAAGAAAGTGTTACCGATATTGTATCGCTTCTAAGAAACAATTTGATTATTTCGCAAAAATTACGGGATGACATGAAACCTTGTGCTAATAGTGCTAATAGTAGGATTCTCAGTTTGATCCCGGTCCTCGTCCTGCATATTTTCTCGTTAAGGGAAATTTCAAAAGTTCAGCGCTTGAAACAGGTTAAGCGCCTATACATACAGTGTAGTATTTAGTGTTTAATCAAAATTAAGCATAAATTTCAAAGAATTTTTAGAAATATCATGGTGATATATATATATATAACCTGACGGTTGAAAGACATTCCTACAAAAGGGTAAATTAAAAAAATATATTTCGCACACAACAAAAAGTAAAGGGTTAAAAGAATAGAATAAATGCATTGGTTACAATGCGCCACGTTTCTAAATTCACAATAGGGCTGAAATAGATGATTAAGTAAAATTAATACTTAATAATAAATATAAATAAATGATAGGAACACAGCATAAAAAATTGGTTTCTAATTCGACAAATTAGATATTGAGGTGTAACTGACTCCTTTGGTTCGTATTGATGTAAAACGTTTAGCACTAAACTTCATTTTTCATATCAGATTAATGAAGATTATATGCTTTCCTCAGCACTAAATATCCAAGTAAATAAACATTTATAATATACATGCTATTTCTTTTTTATACAGGATTCTATCTATTTGCATATAATACGTTTGTTTTATCAACGATGATTAACGTATTTCGTTGTTGAAACTAACCCAATTGGTAAAATGTTGGTAGATTGGCATCAGATTGGCAGCAGATTCATTAGAAACCCACGCCAAAATCATAGCCATCTGTGTCCGCATTACGCTTTTGTTTTGGGAATAGAGTCTATAAAACATACGCTATCAACAGATTATCGACAGAAATGGAACAGGTCCAGTTATGTAAGCAGATTTTGTTGTATTTCTGCTGACACGCTGGCAACATGTCGACTATGTCATTTTCTGTATGTAATCTGCAGTCTTTCTGCCTTCAAAATTTATAGTGGGCATTTGACGAAATTTGTTCTGATAGATTTGGCTACCTGGGAATAATAAAGCCGATAACACGACCCTATTGTAGCTACAGTCGGCAAGTTTCTACAGAACAGAAAGATATTCACGATTTCTCAGTATGGGCAGCTGTAGTTGATGTTATAACCGAGGCGATGTCGCTGCTGGATTGACTAGTGATTGGTTCTAGTGGTGGCACACTAAAAAAAGAGAGAATAGCAATAAGAAATAGTTATCACGCGTGCCGGCGCGTTGTGAGATTTCCTATTTTTCCAATTTAATAGCTTGTCATTTTTAAATTAAAAAAAAATGACTAAACTTAAAAATAAAAATTAAATTTCGACAGTAAAACATAATCTAGCAATATTTAAATCCTTAATTTTTTCTTTCATTATTTTTATTTCAGTTTGGATGAAAATTCAATTGTTATATGTATATTTGCTACTGTGTAGAAAGTATTTCAGAACTATCGCTATTCTCTTTATTCGTAAGTTTTGCGTCGAATTTTGAGTCATTTTATAATCAAAACTAAAGCTATAAAAAAGCTATAAATGCATATATCAAAGCACCCAAAAAAATAGATATTTTTTCCTTATTATTTATGCAATTCATTATTTTTTTTCTTGCTCAAAGTTTCTTTGACTTCATTTGAATTTTCTTAATAGTCGATTTATTAGATAATGTGAATTAATAATAGCCCGTCATATTCCATTATTGCGGTGCAAAAATGGAGCATACAGAAATTTCGCGTTACAAATGAAGTGATTCGTGACTCACGTAAGGGTGGTTTGGCGATTCAACACGGCGGCGGTAGGTAATGCAAGTGGGGAGTGCGCATGCCCTAATTGTATCCCAGTTGGTGTACTTACTGGAAGACAATGCTCTTCGGCTCCTCCATTACCCCCACCCCCGCTTGCGTACATGTTCAACTGCAACGAGTCCACTGTAAAGTCAATAAAAAGACACTATCATCATGATTACTTTGCTCGCAACACTGTTTCTTAACAAACGATATATGAATTGTATTTCAAGATCACTAATTGTGATGTTACACTATAATATGTTTAAATTTGATAATAGGTTTTTCCAACAATGAACTTATTTATATCTGTAAAAAGAATTGTTAGAGACGACGTTAGGCTGGCAGATGGTTTAGTTGTTTGATTCCGACGTTTCGACCATGCGGGTTGTGGTCCTTTTCAAGAAATTTAATAATCTACAAGTTTTCTAGAGGACATTGCAACTTAAAAATGTATCGATTGAAACCAGTCAAATTATGAGCCAAGTGAAATTTTTTACTTACAAATATTACGTCATCGATATTAAATTAAAAACGGAGGTTCGACATCCGTCTCTGGGCGTCACTCGGAGAACTATGTTCGAAGGCACGTCCATCCGACGTAACGACTAGAGTAGGACTAAAGTCTAAAGCGATGTAAATATTAATGTCGCCTAACAATGCTTTTTACTGTTAATTAACTACTAGCGTTTCACATTCTTTTGGTATTATTTATATCTCTCTCTTTACTTTCGTTAATTATGTGTATTTGACACTTAAGTCGTAAAGGTTTAGCTATCAGTTTCTTATCACGATGAATATTCGAGATGTCCATACAATCATTAATCGGTTTTAATCTTTATTTTGCCTCTTGCTTATTCACTTAGGAAGTGCCTCAAGGCTGTAGCGTGATTTTCGGGAAAGATAAGAGCATGTGTAACTCAAGTAAAATTTCGTGAATTGTTATTCACCAGTTTTATATGTATAGATATATCCGGCTTTGCAAATCTGAAGGACTTGGACAAAGTGACAAGCTCAATCGTGTTAATTCGAAAAATAGTATATACGAGTTTAATTATTGTAAATAGAGAATATACCTCAATCGAGCACACAATTGCTAATATCTTTTTTAGTCGAAATATATAGATCGGAGATATAATTTTCTAGAAATTTAGAAGCGCGCTGATTGTGCCGATCACTTTTCAACTTTATTATGACTTCACGTGTGAAAAATATCGAGCCGAAGGTAACGTTACACGTCTCCCTCCCGCATATCTCAACGCGTGCGTGTTCTTCGGGTTAATCCCCCATCGATGAGAAGTATGTGTTGGCCGCTATCGGAGTATATCCCCGAGCTCGGACCAATCCGAGGCACTATCGGTTGTTGTGTGCTCTTGTCGGAGTTTCCCCGACCCTCCCTCATACTGTCACATACACGCGATCGTATGTTTAGTCGGCCATCGCGATTGTCGATGGACGGGGACGGGTATTATTGGTTGACCGTCCCATGAAGAACGATATTTGTACACTGAGAAACCGGTTAGTTATGATTTACACGCTGATGATGGCGATAGTTAAGAATAATTTTTAGCTCCACATTTAAATTGCACATTTTAAATAACGTATTTTAAACAATGAAAGTATTTCACTCACTCCTAGTAGTAGGTACACCTAATGATAAATTCTGAGACTGCTTGGAGACTAATCGTATTATAAGAAATATGTGGAATGTACAGAATATCACGTACTGTTGAGATGACAATATACACAGTATCGTCGTCAATTGAAAATTTTGTGCGAACAGTAATTCAAAGATGAAGATGTATAGTTGTTAAAATGTAAATTGATGGGAGGTAAAAATAAAAATGTAGAATGGGAAGTATAAACGTTAGCAAAAAATAAATGTACAATGACTTGCTCACCGAAGACTCACCAAGTAGATTGGATTTTATATCGGTCTTGTGGATACCACTAGGACCGGGTAAATTTCCCGTGATACCCGAATGATTCTTCGGTTTCCTCTTTCGTGTTTGTATTCCTTCCTTCTTCATGCTTAAAGGCCTATTCACCTGTTCGCGTAAATGTAATTATATTTCTACACTCTAGAAAATCGTGGTGTGAGCTTTCACCGCACCCACGTAGTTAAATAACTCGGTGTGAATTTTAACATCAAAAGTGTAGGAAATCTTTCACACCAATAAACGCGGTGTCAACTTTGATGCTATATTGTTTTGTTTTTACGACATGCGATGTGACCGCCGTGACGACGCCACATGTAACTATAATAGAATAATCAATCGCTACAGCGTTTAGGTCATCGTGTATATATGTACACGTTGTTGAACATTCACGCTGGCAATGTGAATTTTCCACACTAACCAGGCAATGTTGATTTCACATCGATAAGGTGAGAATTATATAAACACCTGTATGGGTGTTCATTCCACACCAATGGAATTCACATCCATATTTCTTAGTGTACGTGAGAGAGACTTCGAAACATTATTTTCTTTTAATAATCTCTGTCTGGCTAAAGCATGAAATCGCTTGTATTTTCAACTTTTAAACAATAACAAGAACGAAAAAGAACAGAGAGAACGAACATCGTTTCGATCAAACCTCGAGTACACCTCGGTACAGGCTGCGCATCGATCTCTGTTTTAATTAAATTTGTTGTCACGATCGTTTGCACAGATTCGCGCGATAATCTGCGCTCCTCTTCAACGTCGAGACGGGGTCGTCTCACGTGCGTAAAAACAATCAAGTCGTCGTTATCACAGTTAGCAATCGCAAAAAGACTGATAACGTGCTGACCAGTTCGCAGTAAGATTAATGTTAATTAAAAAAAATTTCTCCACTGCTTTCTTGGTGTTTTTATATCGCATGAGAATGGAAGGCATTGCAGCGGTTCTTAGAACATTACTGGAAACACCGGCGACAGAAAAATATAAGGGTCCTTTTTGTTAAATACTTTTTAAGTGACTAACAATAGTCATTTTTTGGCTGTATTATTATTATTACTTGTGTCATCTGTCATTATTAAGTATATTGCTATGTTCAAAGTTTTACAAATGAAAAGAGTCGACTGAAAAATTTCTGTTCAAATAAAACACAAATGAAACGATGTAATATAATTATATAATTTCGAAACTTACGTTATGCAGTTTGAAATAAAGGCCGCACGCATTGCAGACTGGCTCACCACCGTTGTTTCGTCTCCAAAGGGTTGTGTTCGTTGTCCTACAATTTGCACATTGTACTCCTGATCTCCGTGCGTTAGGCTGCAACGCAAAAAGTAGTTTCACGCTATAAAAAAAATATATGTCAACTGCAAAGTAACGCAAATCACATAAATAAACTTATGTGCAATACGTCAGTAAATGATAGAATTACGTTGTATATCTCGCTTACATCGGGTAACTTAAAATTACAATCGAAGATTGGAAGCAGTCGGGAATAAAAATGTACACGTCGTCCCAGTCAGAAATGGCTCGTCGATCGACGTCGAAATAATCGGCATACTGACGTTGAATCGGCATTGTTTCGACGTCGATTGACAAGTCGTTTCTCGCTGGGTGTAAGCGTGAAAAAAGAACCCATCGTTTCGGCAGTCGATGACGACATAAAATGTTGCATCGTCGTCGAGAGACGGGGAGTATTTGAAGAAGCGAGACAACGAAATGGGAGTGCTCGGAGCAAGAAAAATAGAGCAAACAGCCGCCAGCGAGTCCCGTAGTGATTATTTGCTCGAGATAACGTGCCTCTTCCCTCTGTCTTCGGTAACGGTAGAGGGAAACGGGGAGGAGAGGGAGAGCAGAGCAGAGGGAGAGAGACGAGAGAGGTAGAGGACGCGAGAATGTTACTTAATATCGAAGCCATGTACGCTTCATGGGTGAGAAATTATCAGGGTAAATATCAGTGGCCCCATTTTAGCAATGGTCAAACGGATTTTGGACCCGGCAATTAAACATTTGAGCGTGCGAGCAGCAAACAGTGTTTTAATCGTTCTTTTACCCCTTTTCAATACGATATAGTCATTAAATTCAAAGTTTATGTTAAAACCCAGTAGAAAATAATAAGAACGAGAAAGAAAGAGTCATTTAGAGATAATTTGAGAGTTTGGGCATCCAAGCTAAATAAAGAGCGCAATTATTTCAGTTACAATAATTGAAATACGTAATTCATTGTAATATACTAAGGACTGTTAGAAACTATTACAGAAATGTAAGAAGACCGATAACTATGAAAAGAGACGGAAATGCGCGTAAATAGAATTGGGATTTGAATGCTATTTCCTCAAACTCCGATTCTCAAATTGCGAAAATTAACACTCGCAAATGTTGTATAATTAGATTATAGTAATGATATGATTCGCACAATGTTTACCGGTGCAACCGACTGCTTCGGTTTGGGGCATCGCATAGGTGGCCTGTTGACGCCATTCATCTTATTGTAGAGGCCACAGGCGTTGCACAGATAGTGACCAGTGCCATCCCTTCTCCATAACGGCGTCATATTGGCTGCACAATTAACACATTCTTTGGCCTCCGTCGTTATAACGTTTCCGTCGAATCCTTCGTCCGGATCGGAAAGCGGAAGAGTAGCCCATCCAGGAGGTGGTCCACCCCCGCCCGCGGAAACGCTGTATCCACCGCTACAGTTGGAAAAGAGCTGCACGTTCGCAGCGTCGCTGACAGAGATCGCGGTGATGCCCGGGTGACCCTGTACGTACTCTAAAGTCGAAGGTAGGGAAGCGCTGCCGCTAGGCCAGTAAGAATCAGCCGAGGAGGGCTTCACATATGGATACGACGTCGCTTCCGTGTACAGTGTCACTTGAGAACTTGGTGAGCCAGGTTGCTCGAAGTGCAATGGAACCGCTCGGGTGGCGGCCAACGATGACGCTAACGTGGGGTCACCCTTCATGTAAGCGCTGCCTGGTGATTCTATCTATTGAGTGTGAAACATAGATATCGTCTTGGTTTAAAAAGGAAGGAAAAAAAAACTGAAAAGTATAAGCTATGAATTACCAAATGAAAGAAAGTTGAAACAATAAGATATATAATTCAAATAACTGGCTGTGCCGTCTCACCTCGGTAACTCTCGAGCCAAGTTGCGGCGCTGCCGAATACGCCAAGATGACGGAATCTCCCGGCTTGGTGTATCGATATGTTGGTGCCTGGTGAAAAGTTTCGCCGGCTGATAAATACTGTGTGTATTGGGGCTGCGTTGGTGGAATAGCGACCGTTTCCAGCGTGGTGTACGTATTGTGAGGCTTGATGGTATCCGCGGCAGCCGTGGTCTCGACGTCATATTTGACGACACTGCTGGCGTCGGTATAACTTGTTGCTAAGAGTTGTTGCTGCTGACCAACTCGTATACTATCGATTGGCGGCGAGTATGCCTGCGCGTGTGATTCGAGGTGGACCGCAGATCCTGACTGCGTGACGATCGAGGTGTCGTAGTCCTCCGCCGTGGTCAGAACTGGCGACGTCTGATATCTGGTACCAGCGTTCGTCCCGGACACTTGATGATTCTCGTGAGGACTAAATCTTTGGTGTCCGGTCTGAGTTCGTCGATGATCGGGTACTTGTACGGTAATCACATGGTTCTCTCTTCGGACTTCGTGACCGTCGGAATAAGCGTATATCCGGTCCACGTCCATTCTGTCTGAGGTGGCAGTCTCATATCTTGGCGCGAACAAGTCATACAGTTTGGATAAAGATGCTTTTTTTCTATCATTTCTTAACTTTTACTCTAGCAATCCTTTAATTATTCTTACCTGGGTGGTTCCTTAACCGTAAGTGTGATGGTAGCCTCGGAGCTATCGGAGACTTCAACTTGAACTTCCTGTCCGGTGGTATAAACGACGCGTTGCTGATCAGTCGAACGATGCTGATCCTCATTGCCCGTATGGGAAATCTGCACGTAATGCTGCTGTGCTTGATGAGTTCGTTGCTGTTCTTCTTGGAAATTACGCTGTTGAGCTTGCTCGTGTTGCTCGTTTCTCTGTTGAAACCCCTGATGAAGACTTCCGGTAACCGAATTGGAATCTGGCGATTCCGGATCAACTTCGGCGATTCCCTCCGTTATATGACCAGTAGTCGTAATCGTTCTCACATGTCTCCTCGTCGTTATTACGCTTTGAGGACTCTCCGTCGCAGTCTGATCTTCCGTTCTAGGAACTTGCGATGAATTATCGTCCGCATGATGTCCGTCCCATTCCATTTTGATCTCTTGTTTTATCAGCGTCTCTTTCATTATGTCCTAGGTAAAACGAAAGTTCCTCTTTAGCAGCAATATAATTATCTAATCTCATAAATTCGCGTGTGTATCCAGGAGCGCCTTGACTCTTTCCGACTCCATCGGCGCATCTCCGATGAGATGCCTTCACTTTTTTACGCTCGTTTCATTAAATCTCTGTGAGAGAAATTTCTGTCCAAAAATAATTATATTCTTAACTTTCATAGGAATAATTAACGAATATCTGATCTTTAACAGATATATTACGTTATTTATTGCGGATTATAACTTATCGAAAAGATAAATGCAAGAGCTTTTCAACTTTCGCAGTCTCCTAATTTTCCCGAGCAACGTAATATCAATGTTAATGACAGACGACAACGCGGCCACGTGCGAAAACTCGCGCGCAAAGGCACCAGAATAGCGTTATCGTCGCGATAACGGAGCGGTACAAGTAAAGTCATATGTCGGATTTTCAACCGGATAACAGATGAGATTGGTGTCTAGGTCGGCGATCGCGCGGAAACTTTTGCTCTCACCGAGATCTCTCGTTAACGTTTACATCAATATTTTTTGATCTTGCAAAAATTAATTAATTTCTTTTACGGAAAGAAATATTTCGCTTAGTAGATGTACCTGATAATTACATGGCAGGCAAGTTTGCCAGCTTGCCATGTATCACCCCACACAGAGCTAAACATCCATTGGACGTTCATTCGATATTCATGATGGGGATTTGAAAACTCCATTGAACATCCATACAATAGCAGTGAATCCAGTTTAGAAAATGGCCCAGTCAACTTAGTACTGAATTGCTGACACAACACAGTACCCAGCCGACTGGGCCACTTTCCAAATCGGATTTATAAAAATATATGAATTTAAATTGCATTCCGAAACACTTCTAGCTTTGGACGACTGGGCATTAATGTCCACCGTATGCACAATAAAAATTAATTAAAAATGTGAGTATACATTTTACAAAACTGTGTTTCGATGATGTCATTGTCATGCAGTAAATATAAGGTCTATTCTACCATGACATATAAGTCGGTAGTCATGAGAAAATTGACCAACCACGATTACTTAAAAAATAATCAACTGTGCGGTCAATTTTCTTATGACCGACTTCTTATGTGAATCTCCATTGGAGATTATGTTCCGTGAGGGTTGCTGTTTTCTCGATATGTAATGCAAAGAAAAATAGGTAGAAAGATTTTGGCCCACTGTGAAAAACAGATAGGACACATCATTTCCTGAGGATTTTGACTCGCTGTACACGATGCCAAAGTTAGATTTCGTCTAAAGCCCGGAAAACACGTTCTTATCCGAGGATTTATCATCCAATAATCCAACGGCCTAAAGAGCCTTTGCATAAACATCAAAACTATTACAAACTCGTGTATTTGTCAATAAATGAGACCCACGGTGAGGAATGTTAGTAGAGTACACGAGGGAATCAGGAGCTCTGATGACTAATTCCAAAAACATCCTAAGCCCAATGCACCCAGTAACAAACTATTATAACTTATGGATTATTGCATGATAGAAATTGGATTATATTGCATGATAGATCCTCGAATAAGAACACGTTCCCCGGGGTTTAGACGAAAACTATATACAGCATCGTGTTCAGCGGGTCAAAATTCCCTGGAAATGATGTGTTTTGTCCGTTTTTCAAGATGGGCCAAAAAATCGATCCTTTTTACTCATTGTTCTTTGGCAATAACGTGTAAAGTCAATTAAAAAATTTCTAAGAAGTAACCGTGAATAATTCAATATTGATAAAATTTCTAAATAGATTTCTACTAATTGCAAATCAAATCAAGACCTGTTGATCAAAAGTTCGTCAATCAACAGGATCAAAGATAACGGTCCTGCGGACTCGATTAGTCATTCTTTCAGGGGAATCCTCGAGGCACGCGACACGAGATTGTTTCGGCTCGCGGGCGAGAACATACACGGCGAGTTTAGTGAAGAGGGTGGAGGAGAGGGAAAGGACCGGGGACACACCTCGTCCGTCTCGGGAAAAAATGCGAGAGGTACTGTTTGTCCTGCGTCACACTTCCGTTCGGCAATGTCAAGTTTCGACTTCCGGCGCGAGAGCACGCGACGGCTCTCTTTCTTTGGCAAAGACCTCGCGCGACTTCCGCTATATCTCGTCGGTGATGATCTCGCAATTTGTACTTTAGTGTCACGAGCGTCTAATCGAATCGCAATGCGACGGTAACGTTCAATTATAAATGTGATGATGGTGAAGTGAATAACAAAAAGTTGGTTATTATAAACTTAAATAAAATTCTGTAACGTATCGTTCAACTATCTCGATACTTCTTTTTCGGGAGAAAAATTGTGTTCTCGCTGACAGTTTTATATTCATGAGTTTCAATATGTGCGTCCATATGGCTTATTTTACGAACATAACATCTAAAGAAGATTCAGGTCTATTGCTGGCACAATGTCCGAATTTGGAATCGTTATGTAATTATCCTACACTTGAAAAGGACCAGAATTTACGGTCGAAACGTTGTGTTTTTAAATTGACATTTTTGCCAGTTCCGTCGAATAATTTCTTAACCTTTGATGTAATGCAAATATCAAGAAATTGCCGTTTCATAATTAATCGACATTATTTTAAACCGATCCCCGTAAACGAAGTCACCGGTAAACTTATTAATGACATTTTAGCAAATAAACTTATAAATATCGTTTGAATAACTCCCGGCATCGTTAATATATTTATTAACAAGCTCAATCTAAATTAACGATACAAATATCGTAGTTTTGTTAAATAAATCCTTCAAATCTTTAAACATGACTTGGGACACGCACTTCATGCGCGTAAAATAATCATTCATTGGTACCTCGTTCGCCGTGTGTCGCATTTGAATTTCGCGTGCCAGATCTTTCCTGTTCTTGCAGTCTGTAACCTTGACGCACCGAATAAATCCTGATCCCAGAGACCGATACACTTAAGTTGATAGCATGTGCCAAAGATATATAGTACATACACTCGGAAATATCCGCGGGGTCGATGATGAAAATGTTGAAAAGAACAGACGCCCGCGTTAAGTGTTGGGAGGAGTGTAGGGAGTGTATAGAGTGTAGGTCTAGGTTCAAACCCTGGCTGATATAATACTTTTCGCAATAAAATTTCTACCAACTGCGGTCGAAAAATGCACTTGTTCTGTGCGAAAGAACAGTTGTAAGAGGAAGACGCTTCGCCGACGGAAAGCGCTTTGCAACTGAGATGACTCGCCGTGGTGTCCCACGAAGAGACGCAAGGTGGAAGGAAAGAGGTGGAATCGTAGCGAAGCTACAACGGTGAGTCTCTACAGTCTCTACTGTAGACGAAGCAATGCCGTTGCGTTCGTCATCGAGCAGCAAAGCGAACGGAGAGTGACAAAGTATGTGTAAGTGAGTGTATAAGAGAGAAAGAGAGAGAGGGGGGGGGGGAGGAAGGGAATGAGAAAAAGAGAGAGAAGAGCTGGAGAATATACAGCAGACTGTTTAGATGGACACCAGCAGCAGCGGGAGCGACCGATTGGGCGGACCCTCGCTTCTCATTGGTCAGCCGATTGCGAGATTCTTCATGCTTGTCTATTCTCGCGTGCTACTATTGCTGCAAGAATCGATCGTACCTCTCATTTTCGCGATATGTAGCTTGATACAAAAATTGCTTTAAATTTATAGATGCGCAGTTTAGATTTTAGACAACTTGTATATAACTGACGTAAGCACAGAGCAAATAAAATTCATAAGACTCTGACGTGAAATCACAAATACGAAGTAATAAAAGAGTAAGAGCCAAGTTAGGATGTTAGTGTCCAAATAATTTTTATTTTAAGTCTATTGCGAAAAATAATGCCTCGGTCGAAGTGGTGAGGCCCGCCTAGTGAGAGGGAGATTCATATCTTGGCTATTATTTTTCGCAATAGACTTCAAATTAAAATTATTTAGACACCTAAATCCTGTCCTGGCTCTTACACCTTTATTACTTCGTTAAATTAAATATATAGAGATATAAACATTATAAACGTCCCACCTGATTCAAGATTTTATACATTTCACTGACATCTTCTGCAATTTTCTTTTTCCTTTTCTTTTCTGTCATTACTGAACTTGTTTTTTTGTAAATGCGGAAAAAGGTGCATTCAACAATGAATGAGTTTATCCTCTCAGTAAAGAGATCAAGTCTTTTTATTAATAACAGTTGTGTAAAATATCACGAACTTGACAAAATTTTTCTTTCTAGAATGATATTTTTGACGTCATTTCGTGATATTTTGTCCAAAACAACTTTTACACACAATCGTTCGTTAGTTTATATATACCTAACGGTAAGGACCATGCGTAATTTTGTCCAGCCGGATTGGACGAATTACACACAGTATGGTCCGGGGGGAAAAAGGTCGCAGAGGGAGTCCGTTTGTTTGCTCACTGATAAGAACGATGAAGCGACAAGAGATAACGAGGGACGGCGAGGAAACATGTCCACGAGCTCTCGTCGGCCATCGTTGTTAATGCCTTGCCTCGCCATTTTGTGGCGGCAACAGCTTAATCGTAGGGGGATGATGATTCATCGTATACTGACCAGTTAGAAAAAGAGATCGCTACGGCTTTACGGATTCGTAATATTTCCTCGTTTTAACAGAACAGAAAGTAAGAATAAAAGATACTTATTCCGGAATCTATAAAATGTTTAATAAGCAATTTAGGTAATTTAATTCTACAGATTTGGGACGTTCATAATGTTTATATCTCTATAATAGTTTTATGTATTCAAGTGATATGCATAGTCCCGTCTGGGCCGTTGAGCGGTTCACACGTCTTCCGACGGAAGATAAAATTTTTGATCCTGCGGGATTGCATCATCCAATAGGGATTGCATCATCCCGCGCGAGGCTCGGTAGTTGGGCCTCTGCATTGTGTGACATTAAAAACGCGATTGCACGTTAAGAGATTTATATCATCAAGTCAAGACTATTGGTTCGTCGTGGTCGTGTCGGCTCGATACAGGAGCCGGGTGCCATAACAAAATAAAGAAGAAAGAAGTGATATGCATACATAAGTTATATACAAGTTGTTCGAAATCTAATAACCTCTGCATCTGTAGATCTAAAGCAATTTTTTACACAAAAGCGCAAAACTTGTCATTTGTTATAAGTTTCAAATATTGAACAGTAAATATCTTCGTAATTAATACTGAAGTTAGAATTGTTAAATATATAATAGAACATAGAGATATATAGGAAACATTTTTCAAATTTTAATTCTTTCCTTATAATATGCTTTACAAAGGATCAAAGTTGTTTAATTTTCCATTCATCACCGTATGAATTTTTCATTCTACTATACGGTCAGTTATTATATCAATAATGATAATATTGAAATAATTGCCATGATAAACGTGCGAATATCTTAAAGCTGGATAACGATTAAATCATAGATAATTTTGGCGTTGAGATACGTCGAGCGATTAATCATTATCCAATCTTGAAATAGGACAGGAAAGAAGAAAATATAGTAACTTAAATTATATCGTACTAACAGCATACATGCGGAAGAGTCATCTTAAGATAATGACTATTGCTTGCGTCATCGTGCACCTGATTCATTTCTGCAAACGAAACGTCATTGACAACGAAACCGTCACAATTTTTGATAATTGAGAGAAGGTATGACACAAAACTGACATACTCAACTTTTTGCAGGCAAACCTAAATTAAAGTTTAAGAGCAATAAAGAAAGTTTTATTATATCAGAATAGATAATAGGATAAAGTGGCCTCAAGTTAATTTCATAAACATGTGATATTTAATTTTCTCGAGTAATTTCTGATTTCCGCTATTAATTGTCAAAGTGAAGCGATAGCTCAGTCTACCGTATATAACCAATGTTCTTTATACTCCCGAAGTAAATTAATAACGCAATTTCGATGGGAGGTAATTAAGACAAAGGGACGCGTTTGCTGCCAGAAATTTATTAATTGCACAATCGATACGAGCTACGGGAAATTTTCTTGAAGTCGTGACTCAAGAAGGAATAAACATGTAAGGGTGTTCCATGAGGAAAGGTCAATATTATGGGAAGTGATAGTATCAGTCATTTCAAGCAACAATGTTCATATGATCATTTGTCCGATTCTCTACCGTTTCCAAGATAGAGCTACTTGAAAGTCTCGTATTACTTTTTTATTTACCTTTTTTCTGTACACTTTACCCTTCATCCAACCTCATAAACTGCGGTAATTTACTCTTATAGTCTATTGACTGTTGTGCTGATAACATTGTAGAAATATTCAAAATGCCTCGCATATTCACAAAAGTCGAATATGCAAATATGCTGTATGTTTACGGTTTTTGTGATGGTAGTGCTGCTGGTGAAGAATACCGTCGACGCTTTCGTCGTTTATGATCTATGAAAGATGTATCACTTGAACAAGAAATATTAGAAATAGTGCGTGGTATTTCTTTCTTGTCAGTAATTTCGCAACGGTACCTTCCAAATAGCTCTATCTCGGAAACAGTGGGAAATGGGACATAGATTCATACAAACAGTTTCGCTTAAAATGACCGATACCTCCTAGAATATTAACTTTTCCTGTTGGAACACCCTGTATATATGTACAAAGGTCAAACCTTTGAACGCATTGAAGTGTCTGGAATGGCGTACGTGACGCGTTGGAAATTTCTACCTGCGATCACAACGATACCGGTAAGCGTGCCCGCTTCGATAGAAATCAAGAGCACATTCATACGCACATATACATCGCAGGTTTCCTCTTGAAACAATATTTCGCTGATAAGAGCGCGCTATTACGAGCGACGACAAAAGGAAAAAAGTTTATACGCAATTGCAACACTCCGAAAGTTTGATGGAACAAATCACAGCTTTGCTGGCTTTATAATAATTTTATCGTTAAGGTGTACTCTGATTACTACACGATATATTATATATAAAGTAAGAAAATTAATGACGTAGGGTCAGAGAAGAAGAATTGTTGAAACTTATGCTATTCATCATGTGATGCTTATATAACACATAAATATATTAATAAATAAATCTGCAGTCAGAAATTTCATTTTAATGCTACAGTTGTGTTTATCTACATTTATAATCATTATTTGAATATAAACTTAAAATAAAATTTTATTTTAACAGTAAAAGAACATTAATGATTTCTCGATAATGAGTTTCTTCTTTTTTTTTCTCGTATTTTTCAAATACCGCCTTTTCTCTGTTTACTCGACGAATTTAATAATCCCGCAAATTCATCACTAGCAAAAGTTATCGTCCACTATAAAATATCGATTGCAAAAATGAGTATAATTCCGTTTCCGACAGAATCATAAAAACCGATCCCTCTTTTTCCCACGACTCAATGCTTCGATAACGCAACAATTCGATGTGAACTCGGAAACGCATCGGCGCGGATTAGCTTCGCAGTGCAGTCACGTTAAACCACCTGCATACAGAGCTTTAATGGGCGAAGTTTGGCGATCGTTCAATTTTACAATCGTGTTATGTCGCGAAGTAAGCAAACAGTACTCGGCAAATAAGAGGTAACTGCGGCGCGTGATGTATAATTGCACAAAAGATTTCTCAGTGACACAATAACGCACGATCAAATTCTGACAAATGTTCAGGCTCTAACCTTCGGTTGGCAACAATAGGAAGTAAAAAGTATACTTGTTTCTCTAACAAAAACAAGTAGGTATATTTCGAAATAAAAGCTCTTGTGAAATGAAGAGATTAAAGAAGAAACTAAATAAGAAACATTCTTCAGACCTTCTTCAAATATAAGATATCTTCAAAGTGTAACGCTTCCATTATGTAATTTCTATGGAATGTTCTATGGAGCCTTACTTTATGTAAGTTGCACAAAGTACACAAACATATAATTTTATACATCTCATTGTACTTATACCTCAAACCAATGAATAAAAATTAAACAATTAATATAAAATTTGCCAGCATTGAATGAAGATAGATTTAAGATTAAAAAAACCTTTGTTGAAATGATCTTTTTGTGCAAGATTTTTCGTATATCATTTTCGTGTATCGGTCCTGATATTTCTGTTCGGGTTCAGGTAATCTCGTTGACTTTTATTTTCCCTGTCTGTCTTGCTCATCTAGACCATTTTTTTACGTAATTGTATGTCCACGAATGTTCTCAGATAATAAATTTTGATATTTGATTTTTTGTCGCACGTAACTTTATTATCTGAGAACATTCGTGGACATACAATTACGTAAAAAAAAAATGG